AAAAAATATTCAAAAATATTTGATTTTTATCTCTCTTTTTTTGTGGTGTAATTTTTCCATAGGGAAATGTTTTAATTCCATGTAGTCAGATATCATTCTTTCATGACTTAATGGAAGGTGTATTTCTAAAGAACTTCCCTATTCTGAAATTTGCAATTATGTATATTTAACATTTCTTCAGGTATTTTGTGTTTTCATGATCACAGATAGTATTATAATATGCATGGATATTTTGGGTGTAAAGTTAAGTTGCTCGTTAATGCTTTCAAAAACATATTGGGCTGGACATGTTCCCACACTAGGACTGACTGAGGCCATGCTGCTTACATGTATATTTTTCCATATGGAAATATGCTCAAAACGAGATGGGTAGCAGATATGAATATGTCACTCTATGTATTGAGGCATGTAACATATATAATTTTATTTTTTTTATAAACTCATTCCCATTGTGAGCCTGATGCCACAGCCCAACTTGGGTAAAGTTGGTCATTTGGGGTAAATACAGTCAATTCAGAACCTTCTTTTTCTGCTTCTTTCCCTCTATTCAATTTAGGCTGCTCAGGTTCCATCTGTCTTCATGACACGTCTTGGTAGCCGTACGGTGAGGTTAGGCTTGCTCCCTATCCATGGTCCTCCTCATTCCATGAGGTGGGGCACAGTTCTAGATGGTCCTGGAGCATGGTGTGGCCAATGGGATGGCATCTTCTAGGACTACTCTGTTCCCCTCTGGTCACAGGGCTGCAAGAGTCAAACAACTCTTTACCATGATGTCTCCTCATTACAGCTGTAATTCCCTTCCAGGTCTGTGACTCCTGGTGTCACATCCACCCAGTACCAGACACCTACAAAAACATTCGTCTCTTTCCTATTTGATGGCAAGGCCCCCACACTCACTAAGACAGCTTTAGAACTAGGTGCACCTTTCAGTCATTTCAGCATGACTCTTGTCCCACAGTAGCTTGGGGACTTAGCTTTACTGCTTGTCATCTTCTAGAGCAGTCATAAGGACTCTATTCTCAGATCGACCAACTACTTGGGGTTTGCATCACTCTTCCCTTGGAACTAATTCTGTGGGTGATGAGGAGGAGTGGGCTTTTCTTTTCATTTTTCTCCTTTATAACACTTCTTGGTCTACTAACTCAATATTTTTTTTTTAAAGATTTTATTTATTTATTTGAGAGAGAGAGAGAATGAAAGAGAGCACATGAGAGGGGGGAGGGTCAGAGGGAGAAGCAGATTCCCTGCCGAGCAGGGAGCCTGATGCGGGACTCGATCCAGGGACTCCAGGATCATGACCTGAGCCGAAGGCAGTCGCTTAACCAACTGAGCCACCCAGGCACCCTAACTCAATAATTTTTTATCTACAAAGGTGGATGGGGTGAAAACGTAAGGATAACTAGCTTAGTAAGCATTTTCTTGAAATTTTCAGTGTTAAGCCTAGAGGACAGCTTGTTGAGACTTGAAAGTCAAAAATTCGATGTCTCCATGAAAAAGTGCTCAACATCACTTGGCATCAGGGAAATCCAAATCAAAACTTCAATGAGATATCACCTCACACCAGTCAGAATGGCTAAAATTAACAAGTCAGGAAATGACAGATGTTGGCGGGGATGTGGAGAAAGGGGAACCCCCCTACACTGTTGGTGGGAACGCAAGCTGGTGCAAGCACTCTGGAAAACAGTATGGAGGTTCCTCAAAAAGTTGAAAATAGAACTACCACACAATCCAGCAATTGAACTACTGGGTATTTACCCCAAAGATACAAATGTAGGGATCCGAAGGGGTATGTACACCCTGATGTTTATAGCAGCAATGTCCACAATAGCCAAACTGTGGAAACAACCAAGATGTCCACTGACAGATGAATGGATAAAGAAGATGTGTTATAGATATACAATGGAATATTATGCAGCCATCAAAAGGAATGAGATCTTGCCATTTGCAACGACGTGGATGGAACTGGAGGGTATTATGCTGGGCAAAATAAGTCAAACAGAGAAAGACATGTATCATATGACCTCACTGAAATGAGGAATTCTTAATCTCGGGAAACAAACTGAGGGTTGCTGGAGTGGTGGGGGGTGGGAGGGATGGGGTGGCTGGGTGATAGACATTGGGGAGGGTATGTGCTATGGTGAGCGCTGTGAGGTGTGCAAGACTGTTGAATCGCAGATCTGTACCTCTGAAACAAATAATACAATATATGTTAAAAAAAAAAAAAAGAAGAAGATAGCAGGAGGGGAAGAATTAAGGCGGGGGAATCAGAGGGGGAGACGAACCATGAGAGACGATGGACTCTGAAAAACAAACTGAGGGTTCTAGAGGGGAGGGGGGTGGGAGGATGGGTTAGCCTGGTGATGGATATTAAAGAGGGCACATACTGCATGGAGCACATTGTTTGTGTTATACACAAACAATGAATCATGGAACACTACATCAAAAACTAATGATGTAATGTATGGTGATTAACATAACTAAATTTTTTTAAAAAATTGATGTTTTGTTTCTGGGGTCTCATTGTTATAAATTACTTTTGAAGCTATAGGGACCATGTGTTTATCTGTCTAGGTTTAGGGGAAGGATTACTGGTTATCTAAAGAAATTGAGTGAAGCATGGACGGCAAAAAGGAATTTGGTTAACATCTCCCAGTTATAACCATAAAAAGTCAAGGAACAAACCGTTTTATACACTAGATATCATTTTTATAAAAAAATGGATAATCCAAAATATAAAACAACAAAATTTTACAAATAATGTGATTATTCAGGGTGAAAAGCTTATAGATGAATTTGATTTATTTATTTAATTTATGTATTTTATAAAGTACTACATTTTTATGCATTTTATAAAATGGAAAAGTGATATATCAATACATAATCATTTTAAAATTTTTTGAAAATACACAAAAGCACAACACAGTAAATGAGATTATGCAAAACTCCAGATATGAGGTATCATCTCTGTCAATGTTTTGGTGTAAGTTTTTATTTTTATATAGATCAACATATATTTTGTGGTGCCTGGGTGGCTCAGTCGGTTGGGTGTCTGCCTTCGGCTTGGGTCATGATCCCAGGGTCCTGGGTTGGAGCCCCGGGTTGGGCTCCCTGCTCAGAAGGGAGGCTGCTTCTCCCTCTCCCTGTGTTGCTCCCCCTGCTTTTGCTCTCTTTCTCTCTCTCAAATAAATAAGTAAAATCTTAAACAAAAAACAAAAAACATATGTTTTATACAATTAGGATTATTTTGTATCCCATCCTTTTATAATCTTTTCAGTACTAACAAGCATATTATGAATATTTTCTCATGTTACTAAATACTCTTTACAACATGAGTTTTTGTAGTATTCTATGATACAGATATACTGTAAAAATTTTAAAGTCTTTTGTGGTACCTTTAGATTTTTTTCTAATTTTTAAATATTATACAAATAATTCTATAATGAAAATATTTATAGCTAAACCTTTATGTCCTTGATCTCCCCCCTTTTATTACCTAGAAGTGAAGCTGATGTGTTATAGTGTAAATATATTACACTAATCTGGAAAAACATCTAATCAGTTATAATTAAATGTCCACCTTGGCCATTAAAAAACTCTCAGTAAGCCACCTAAAGAATGTCTAGCTTCAGTTCATGTGAATTTTCTAGTGTGCCATCTCAAGAACCTAATTTAAAATCACTCCTATACATCTGGATGTGGTAATATGCTGCATAAGAATATTAGCTACAGAATAGTTAAGTGTAAGAATTTCTACCAAAACGCTTGTTGTATTTTAGGAAAGTTGATATGGAATTTTCTTTCTCATAGTAGCCTAGTTCATAAAACTAAAAAGTTAAAAAAATACCACAATATACACGAATGTGGTGGTTTTAAAACATGGCTGCCAACTCTTTAATTTTCCTTCTATTGACAAGAGCAGTCTATCTTTTCTACCCTTCTCCCTGGTAGACATGTGACTGCTTGCACCAATAGAATATGGCCAAAGGGACACTAGACAACCTCAAAGGGAAAACTAAAGAAACACCACCCAGATTGTATCTTCTCTTTTCTTTGCTGGGACACTGGGATGCCATGGAGGAAGTGTTCCCTGAGCCACCGTGCTGGAGAAGGTACCCGTAGGCCCTGGAACCTACAGTCCTGGCTGAGCTCTGCCATGTAGCCACACTCACTGGCATGCCGGACAGGAGGGTGAAGGAGCCATCTTGGAAGTGAGTCCTCTAGCCCCGCTTGTAACAGTCTCTAGCTGTTTAGATTGCCCCCAGTTGAGGCCTGAGATGTGGATCAGAGACAAACCATCCCTGCAGTGCCCTGCATTCCTGATATGCGGAACTGATTATTGAGATGATTGGTTTTTATGCCACTAAGATTTGGAGGAGATTTTTTTATGCAGACTTAGATGAGAGCAACACGGGATTTTTTTTTTTTTGGCATTCTTTACATAGATTATGCATTCAACTCATTCAAAATGACTTCAGATAGTTTAGGTACAACTTGAAAAGGTACGACGGCAGAGTATACCCATGTTTATCCCAGCAGAAATAATCTGCTCCAGTGAGAGACAGTGAGCATGAAGTCATATTTTCATGCCAGTGTTATAATAGATGCTGTGCAAAGGAACAGGACACATAGCCAAGAATGTAATCCACGTCTCAGCAATCTAGTTCAAATTGATTCCTGTTTGTGGATTCACAGGGCAGGAAAAGGTCAATAAAACCTGCAAAGAATCTTCATTATTGCTAATAAGTGAACCAGAAGAACACAAAAAGCACAATGGTCATCATGAGTAAAATTGTTTCCTGGTTACATGGTCCTTGTGTAGACTATCACCTTGCAACTATAATACAGGAAAGCATCCAAATGTTTTAGATCTAATTCATCTATGATTTGGGCAGATAAAATATTGCTCCAAACTAGCTAAGGCCAGGGCCTGAGTTCAGCAAAGACAGTGAAATGATCACCCTCTACCTGGTTCAAATTACCCAGTTCAAAGATGGTAATGCAAAGGGGATTGGAGGAGGGCGATACCAAGACAGAATTCTGTTGCATGCCCCAAGGATCTATTTTTCCTGGACTTACACACACTATTTTCTGCACCAGCAGATTCTATTTATATATAAAATCGTTGAGACAGTTTTTGTTTTTGTTTTTGTTACTACAGCAGGTGCAAATAATAATCTACGAGGAAGAAATTGGCCCACAGTTCAGGGGTCTAAGTGCTGTCCCATCCATCAGATTGGTCTCCAATCCTCTTACTGAGATCCCTGCAGATTTTGAGTGGAAGGAAGCTGTAATAACAGTATCAACAGGACGAGAAATGGAAACCAGGACTTTTGTAGGCAAACCAGGACACTCCCTTTCCAAAATGACTGATTCCAGTGACATACATTTAGAATCAATGAAAATTAAGTTTGTAAGTTAAGAAATAACTTAAAATCTGTAAGTGTTAAGACATAATTATATTCACCTTGTCAAAGAGCCAGGTTAGAACCAGAAGAAAAGGGCCGGTCCTATTAGTTGGGAAGCTCACAACAGCCCCTCCATTTGTGCAAGTAGCCTGTGGCCACTGACAACTCTACAGTGGGAGGGGAGATCCACGCGAGAGGAAGAGTACCCATGACCCCCCTTTGCCTTCAGTACCAGAAGAGCCTATTTATGCATGCTTGTCCTTTTTTATTAGATACAAGAATAGGCATGGGTGATGGAGTGGAGAGAGGAAAGACTTTGGAGTCAAACGATGGTGATGATGATGATGATACCAACTTCACAGGGGTGTTTGGAAAATAAAGGAGGTCAATGGACAACAAGAGACTCTCACATTGGCATGCAGAATGTTGTTACCTCCTCCCAAGTGCTTAATATTCCAGCACATCCCAAACGTATTCATATGTGTATTCAGTAAATATTTATTGAATAGCTCTAATGTGCCAGTCTTTGGTCCAAGGATTGATATACATTAATAAGCCTAATAATAAATAGGTAAACAGCCTTGCCCTCAAGGAGCCTACAATCCAGATTTTGATGAAAATCTAAAATCTGAAAATAATTTGGGTCTAAATTATATACGGATCTCGAGAGAAAGAGAGTCTATCATGTTTCCCTTTAACTGTCCAGATCAGCTACTTTGGGGAGCCTGGAAGTTAAACACATGCCTTTCTTTGTTCCTGGGACTGTTTTTCTATCTTAATAAAACTGCTTTGGTAGAAAATTCCTTCTATATAAGCTCATTTGGGATATTTTTAATATATAGTTGGGATAAGTACAATTGTGTGTGCCTCTGTTCAAGGTAGCTGAGCTAATAAAATTTATTATTATTATTGAGTGTGAACCAAATAGTAAGACAAAAAAAGGCAGTTTTATTATGCATTTATCATTTAATAGTGGGCCACTATTATCTAAACACATATCGAATCGGTGCTGTACCAAGAATGCTTCCTGTTTGGTGGAAAAGATATATGAGCAAGAAATACGTACACTGCAACATGTTGTTACGGAGAGAAATATAGGAACCCAGAAGCGTGAGTGTTCCTTTTTCCCCCAGAGCAGTGCCATGGAGGACCTGGGGGGCAGTGCGGGTTGGAAAACTTTGGAGAATAAACGGTGCCTTTCTCTGGGTCTTGATCCATAAGAGATGTTTGTCAGCTTGACAAAGGGTGGACTGCTGAGAAATTTCCAGGCCGAAGCAGCAGTATGAGCAAAGCACAAAAGTATTAATTTAAACCTCGCAACGTCCCTGTGAGGCCGATTTAATGATCTCCATTGTATAAAAGAGAAAACAGAGACTCAGAGAGAGTTCTCCAGTTATACTGCTAAGAGAGGGAGGGCCAGCATTTTAATCCACTTTGGCTGACCCAAAGCACATTCTTTCCCCACCATATTAATCTGGGTCCCTGTTCGTGGAATGAGGACAAAGGTAAACCCATATATATATTATAGGTGTATAAAACTATGATTGTGCTGTTCAAAATCTGAACCCCTTTTATCAGGTACTGATTCATCACTTCGTCTGACGTGATAGTAAACGTCCGTCCTTAAAGCTTCAGATACAAATTGAGGTTGCAATCTCAAATGCCTACAGAGTAGAAGATGGGGTGGGGTGGCCCCAGAGTGAATGTGCTTCTTTCTGTCCCGTGTGAAGGGGCAGCTGTACTCAGCAGATGCCAATTGTTGTCATGAAGAATGGTAGGCCTAGGGTCACCAGATCCCCTGATTTTTTAAGAACCAGATATATATAAATTTTATTTGACATCTCCCCCTTTTAAAATTTTGGAAACTAATTCTTTTTTTTTTTTTTAAGAAACACTCTAGAAACCAAACCAAACATTTCTGGGAGATGTGACTATGGGCCACCTGTTGAGAATGCCCAGCTATTTAAATTATGTTAGCAGGTAGTGGTGTGTAGGATGAAGAGGCAGGCTTGGAGTGAGCTTCAGATTCAGGGTAGGTGTTCAATAAATATTTGTTGACTAGTATTTTATGTTCCTTCCAAGATGTCCGGCAATTTTCTGCTCCTCTTGTTTTATGTTGAATTAAGTCATCTATCTTGGTACTTAAAAGAGGGTTGGTCCTGTGCTTCCTGACTGGTCTCTTGGGCCCCTTTTGTCTCCCAGGCTTTGCGGCGGATGCTCAAGTCCTGCAATTTGACGTGAACTCAGGTGACAAATCAGAGTTTTCTGGATAAGTTCTGCTGTGATCCTTGCCAAATGCCAAAAGCATGGAAGCCACTCTGGAGTGGGTATAGCAGCAACCTGGCCTGTCTCCTGGAGAGGATTTGGTTGCAACTGCCCTTGAATAGGGTCTGTCTCCTGCTGGCTCCAACGCTAACTTCAAAAGAACTATAAATTATAGCAATTATATAAACATGCCATAAATCTTAAGTTTGTGACCTATACCCACAGAGTTGACTCCCAGGAGACAGACCAGCAAGTTACATTGTTTGTGCTGTGAATTTTCAATTAAACAAAAGAAAATGGCCAAGAATCATCAGAAATTATAGGATACATGTAGTTTGCTGTTCATGCAAGTTTTATAACCTAAAGACTTTGAGAGGGTCAAGTTTCCAAAGCATCTCTCTGAGTGATTTAGGCTTTCCTTGCTGTGGCTGAAACCAGCTGCAATTAGATTTGGTTATATAAAGTACATAAACACACAGCTCTTACCTAGCACTCTCAGTACTCCCAGCACAGAGACTGCTTTACATATTTAATCTTTATAATAATGAAATAGTGTCATAGTCTGCTCAGGTTGCTAATAACAAAATACCGCAGATCAAGTAGCATGTAGACAATAAAAATTTATTTCTCACAGTTGTGGAGACTGGGAAGTTCAAGATCAAAGTGCCAACATGGTCAGGTTCAGGTGAAGGCCCTCTTCCTGGTTCATAGTCAGCCCCTTCTTGCTGTGTCTTCCATGGAAGGGGCTAGGGAGCTCTGTGCAATCTCTTGTATGAGAGCACGGATCTCATATATGAGGGCTCCACACGCATGACCGAATCACACCACCCCCCCAAGGCTCTGCCTCCAAATACCGTCACGTTGGGTGTTAGGATTCCAATCCATGAATTTTGGGGAGAGTCAGACATTCATATAGTAACAGGTAGCTACTATTAATGTTCTTGCTTTAAGGAGAAGACCTGAGAAAAGAGAAGTTAAATGACTTGTTCAGGGTTGCATAGTTAGTAAATCATAGAACTAGGACTTGAGCATACGTCATCTGGTTTCCACAGCCATCTCGCGCTTATGGGTGAATTTTAGCATGTTATTTATTATATTCCTTGATAAAACCAAACTCTCATACGGACATGACAATGGGTGACAGTTTTGAATCCTATAAGTTTAAAATAGAAAAAGTACTTAGTGAATAAAGGCAAACTCACACCAGAGAGTCTGAAGCTTTGGCATTCCTTTATTATATGGGAAGCAGCAAAAAAACAGTGGTCCCTGGAACCAGGGCTACCCTGGTTCAAAACCATCATGTGACACACAGGTTACTTAACTCTTGTGCAAAACGACAAATAAATAAAAGTGCCTATTTCAAGGTGTACGTGTTGACCTAGGGAGTACCTTTAGAACTCTAGGAACAGGGTCAACACATAGTAAATGCTCAATAAATATTAGCTATAAGCCATTCAACCGCTTATTTATTCATAAAATAAATCATGTATATTCCTCTACTGAACATTACAAGGTCCACAATGTGTCTGGCATTTACCTTGCCCAGTGGAGGATGCAAATATGTGGAAAGCACAGGGTATATATTCTAGCAGAAGAGACAGATGCATAGGGAAAAGCTCTTTTACTCTGTGATAAATGCCGTTGTAGAGGTATGCCCAAAGAAATATGGGACCAGTGTGGAAAAAATGATTTGTTCCATCTGGAGAGTTGGGGAGAGTTTTACAGTGGAATGACATATGAACTAGACCTTGAGGGCTGAATAATGGCTCTCCAGAAATAACAGTCCAGAAATAACAATGTGGAAACTGTGTCAGAGGGAATGGTGAATGGTCAACATGGACCAAACAGTGGTCTTACCTCTGAACGTGCAACAGATTCACCAGCCGTCCCACCTCAAATATCCATGGTGGCACCTGGCTACATTTCATACACTTTATTTTTCTGAGCAGTTTTAGGTTTACAGTAAAATTGAGCAGGTAGTACAGAGAGTTTCCATACACTCTCTTCCCCCTGAACATGACACATTTTTAAAACATTCCACAGGTGGCTTTGATACACTGTGAGGATTCAACATTCTTGGCTAAAACATTCAACATTCTTGGGAGCTGTGGGGCTTGGGGTGCAGAGAATGGAAGAAAGAGGAGGAGCAAGATGAGCGAGGAGACAGGTGAGATCAAGGTCAAATAGCAACGTGCCCCATTAGGCCCTGCCAAGGAGGTTGGACTTATCCCTGAAGACCGTAGGCAGCCATTGGAAGGTTTTAGGCAGGAAAGGGAGATATTCTGATTCATGCTTTAGAAAAACAGGCTGGTGGAAGTGTCTATAAATTGGAAGAAGGCAAGAACATAAAAATGAGATTATTAAAAAAGCTCAGGCAAGAGATGATTAGGGTAAAAAGCTGGAGCCGGAGGGGCCATGTTTGGCCCATATGAGAGACTGGCAATCTCTCCAGCAAGAGAGAACCATGGGGTGGGTGCTATTTGACATGCTTGCTGGCATGAAGAGAGGAGAGAGGAAGAGAAGAGAGAGAATACTTTATTCCTCACACAACTGGAAAACTGAAAATTCCCTTGCTCGTTACCCGCCCCCCCTGCCCCCTTCTTCCCATGGAGTTCCTACCTCCCTTCATTTCTACCTCAGTCTCCTCTCCTATCTGGCCACTTCCCTCATTATACAGAATGGCTGTCCTAACCCTAATTCCGTAAGACCAGATGAGCCTCTCCAATAGATGCTGACCCTCACATTTCCCAAGGAGAGCTGACTGATGAGTTTGCTTCATCCTTTCACACGAGGCCAGTCCCAGCCAGCCTCTGGTTTGGCTCTCCCCGTGAGACGTCGCCTCTAGCTGATTGGGGGAAGGGAGGTAGTCAGATGGTGCAGAGCATGGTACTATGACAGAAGGACTACTGCAGGGCAGGTACCATAAATATGTCTAGTAAAAATGGACAGTATAAAGTGATTGATTAAATGGGAGGGAAAAGGACTGCAAAGCAAAATATGTTATGTGCCATGAGAGAGAGATAAATAATCACCATGGAGGTTCAGAGAGCAGAGGGGTCAAATGTGTTTGGATTGACCTTCCTTAAAAGTGTTTCAATGAGCAGCAACTTACGAGGAGGGCTGCAAGAGTGTTCTGTTACTGCTGTAATGAATCACCACAAACTTTGCAGCTTAAAACAACAGAAATTTGTTTTCTAGCAGTTCTGAGTGTCGGAAGCCCCTCCAGAGGCTCACAGGCTACAGTCAAGGTGTGAGCAGGACAGCAGTTCCTTTCTGGATTCTCTAGGAGAACGTGGGTTTCCCTGTGCTCTCCAACTTCTCGAGGCTGCCCATTTTCTCGACTTGTTGACCTCTTCTTCCATCTTCAAAGCAACAATAGTGGATGGAGTTCCTATCACAGCACTCTGACCTCCTCTGCTGCTTCTCTCTTCCACATTTAAAGGCCCATCAGGATAGTCTGGCATAATCTCCCTTTTTTAAGGCCCCCCTTCATTCCCCTTTGTCATATAAAGTAACACACAGTTTCAGAATGTTAGGATGTGGAGGACACGAGGTGACAGGCAGACTGGTTTGCCTCCTACCAGGGCATTCAGGGGGACATGGGCAATGTAGAGAAGTAGGACGGTGAGGACTCCTCAGAGCAGTGTGAGTGGTCCAGTTTGGAGCTGAGAATTTATGAAAAGAATTATTAGATGACAGAGAAAGGCAGCCTGTGGTCACATTGCTTTTGGCCTTTTTCATTGTAGCCATTCTATTGCTTGCATAGTTGTATCTCACCGTGATTTTCATTTGCATATCCCGACGGCTAAAGATGCTGAACAAGGTTTCATGTGTTTGTTAGCTGGTTGTGAATTTTTTGTGTGTGAGTGTTGGGATCAGATTTGGGGTGCTGTACGTGTGGGGTGTTTTGTACATTATGCCCGGGGGATGGAATTTGCCTTGTAAGAGTAAGTGATGGGCGCCGCTGAGGGTCTTACAGAAAGGAATGAGATCATAGTACGTGCTTTAGAAAGATAAATTTAATATATCATATATATGATGATATCAATGTGTATACATGTAGATATAGATAGGATGGGGACATGGTGAAGTTGGACAAAACTTACCATTTCAGGTAAGAGGTTATTGAAATAGTACATGCTTATGGTCTTCCAGAATTCGGGTTAGGACAGAACTAGGCTGTGAACTAGAGATGTGGCCCTGAAGACTTCTCAAGGAAATAGAGAAATAATCACATCGGGTGGCTGTAGATTAGTGGTTAAGCTACTTTGTAGTCAACCTGCCTGGGTTTTTGCCAAACATTATAAAAATTTCCTTTAAGAAAGCTTTTAAAGGGGATAGCCCTGAGCTGTGGAGGTGGATGCACACAGCCAAGGCTGGCATCTCAGTGGAGAGGTGGAGCAAGGGAGGTGACCTCACCCCAGTGCCCTTGGGAGGTTCGGTGGGTGGGACCCAAGTGAGACTATCAAAATTAGGAAAAGGGTGTCAAGCCATAAAGCTGTATGGAAATATTAGAACAAGAGGAGCCAGAGGGGCCCTTGAGAAGCCAGGCAAGAAGCCAAGGAGCTATCAGAGAGCAAGGGGAGGGCAAGAAGTAGCAAACAAAATGAAGGGAGATGCCTGTGGTAGGTCTTTTGTGTACTCCCAATGTGTGATCTCCTGGGGCCCAAAAGGGGAAAGAATGATGGGACCATGATAGGGATTGGCTGGCAAGATATGGGGAGGTTTGCTTAGTTCATGGCCAGATGGAGCAACTGTGTTGACTCTTTGCATGATATAGATTCCATTGTATTAATTCTTTCAAATTAATCGGTAGCCAGTGATCTCTAGAGGAAGGGTTGGTGCCCACTTTTCCCTGCCATGGGATCAGAAAACTCTGTTTGCTAGCAGGCGATATTTGTAGGGAGGAGTGAAATCATTTAGTGTAGGCTTCTTTCCTGGAGGACACTGTCACCTTATTCTGCAGAGAAGCTATCACAAGCTGCTGTGTGAGGTCACACTGTGCAGCGAGAGTCGAGTAGGGGTAGCATTGACCATGTGTGCCCATTCTCGGTTTGGTTCACTGGTTCACTCTGCTTGTCATGATGGCGGCCTGTGGAAATAAAATCCAGAAAATACGATGCCAAACAGTAGCCAGAGAATTCACTAATAATCCCTTCTTGGTGTGTGTCTTAGAAGTAGCATCATGTTTTAAAAAAACAACCACAAGGGCACCTGGGTGGCTCAGTTGGTTAAACGTCTGCCTTCAGCTCAGATCATGATCCCAGGGTCCTGGGATCGAGCCCCGCGTTGGGCTCCCTGGTCAGTGGGGAGCCTGCTTCTCCCTCTCCCTCTGCCCCTCCCCCCTGCTTGTGTGTGCTCTCTCTCTCTCTCACTTTCTCGCTCTCAAATAAATAAATAAAATAGTAAACACACACACAGAACAGTAATGTCACGTAAGAGAGAGAGGTGGGCCAAAGGCAGCCACTCATAAACCACTCCAAGTGTGTAATCTCCCCCACTTTCATTTTCTTATTTTTAAATTTGTGGGGTGTGGACACAAAGGGGTCCACATTTGCCATCTCTGTTGTAGGGAAATGGGCACTCTCACACCCACTGGTAAGTGTGGAAACTGGTACCACTTTTCTTGAGGTCAATTTGGCAGTATTAATCAAAATCCTTTCACATGAAATCTGACCCTAGCATTGTACTTTAGGAGCAGACCATATAAGTAATTAAGATGGGCATAAAGTTTTATGTACAAAGATGTGTATCCAAGCATCATGTTTAATAGCAGGATTGAGAAACAACCTAAATGTCCAACAATAGTTGAACGCTTAAGCAAGATTTGGTTAGAATTGCAGAATAGAACTCTATGTAGCCATTAAAAATGATGATGCAGAACAAGGGTTGGCAAACTACAGTCTATGGGCCAAATTAACCTACTGCCTATATTTGTAAATAAAGCTTGATGGGAACACAGCCAGGTCCGTTCATTAATGTTTCATCGATGGTTGCTTTTTGAGCCAAAGCAGTAGAGTTCAGCAGTTGTGACAGAGATACTATGACTGTTTTTTTATGTCTCTTACTGTCCTTTTAATATTTATTCAAGTTCTTTCCTTGCCCGTGGAGTGTCACAATATTTTTGGTCGCTATTAGGACAAAATCTTACAGTGACTTTAGATTGTAAGACAGTGTTTACTCAGAGGTCAAGATCCCATGGCGGTACTTTAAGTCTTGAGTCTTAAGCATAAGCCTTCTATCTCCTCACTCAGCTAGGAACCACTGTAGTCAAGCTGCCGACAAGCTGCCTACAATCAATACTCTTCTTTCCTCACTTTTGACTTCCACCTTTTCTTCCTTACCTCGTTAACCCTGAGGACATTTGCAAAAGGGTACAGAGCTCAGGGAGCATGGAAGAGAAGCACAGAAACATTCTTATTTGGTGCTTTTATAAGATGGCCTCGCCATCTCCGGGAGGGGCAGACTCACTGATTGTTGGGCACTCGTGTATCTTGTTTCTTTCCAGAGCCCAGGCGGGACTGTAATTCCACAATACAGCCAGCCTCTTTTCCTCCAGCTTCCACGCCCCTGGCTTTGCCCCTGGTCCTCCACATACATGGTCTCTATCGGGGTCCTATGCCTTTTCTAGGTTGTCCTCTTGGGCAGGATTTAAAATGTTTCCAGTTTAGCTGAATCGCCCGACGTGTCCCACGGAAAATATTCATGTACATTTCAGCTTGACACGCTCTGGGCGTGCAGCTGACCCCAGTGTGGCAACAATTCTTTTTGCTTGGCTAGCTGAGCAGCTGGATGACTCAACTCTGCCTTTTAGATTTTCCAGGTGGGTGTCAGACTTTGGTACACTTCACTCACCAAACTCCAGCATAAACACAGCAAGGCCTGAAGTTTCCTTGAAAACCTTCCTTGCTGACAAATGGTGAGAGGCCCTCCACCTCCCTTTGTGAAGAACAGGGAGTCGGTGAGAACAGCCACATAGCCCACTGCAAATGAGTCCCCTTTGAGAATCTCTAACTGCGCGTTCTTTGTGGTAAGTCACATAAACAGGTTTCCTCCTTTGTGGTTCTCCCTGATTGACGGCCTAGTGGGTGTTGCTTCTTGTCTCTTTTGTCATAATGGACACACACTACATAAATGGGAAGAAAACATACTTATAAGATTCTGTTTCAGTTTTAAAATGTCCTGTTCTTTGAGTCTTTGACCATGTATTTATATATATATATATATATAATTTTTTTTTCCCTGTGTTCACACCTAGAAAATGGGCTAGAAAACATCGCATTGTGGCTCAAGGTATAATCACTATTAGCTTGTTTAGCTTGAAAGTTACAGAAGGCCTCCTGAACAGAGGAAGTTTCATTCAGAAACACAGGGCCTGTTATTTTCCATATTTCCTACAGCACAGGATTGATTCTCCCCTCCCCCCCGCCGTGAGCAGAAAGATCAGCGTGGACTGGGAAAACCACATATTCCCCCTAACTTACTAACTGCTTGCTTCAAACTCCAGTTAATTACTCGAACAGCACCTTTCACAAAGAAAAGCTGACACAGAAACTGGACAGAGTCTGTATCTCAAGTGCTCCAAGGAGAGAGCAGTAAGTAAGGTGCTCTGCACAGCTCAATAATTTGCACCGCAGGAAAGCCGTACTTGCAAGGGCAGGCAATATGTCTGCAGTATCCTCCTGGCGGAAGGAGGGCCAGGAGCTCATCTTTATGGCTTGAGGCTTGAAAGCTGCTTAACTGGGCGGAACGCCACCTCCTTGCCATCAAAGCTGTCCACCTGGCAGTGAATCTCAATGAGACAGCTGACTGGCTCAGCAGACAAGTTGTCTTGCCAAGGGGATGAGAACTTAACCAGAAGGTCTTTCAGGAAATCTGTTTAGGATGTGGGGGATAAAGAGGAAGAGAAGGAGCAATTCATCCCCTGAATGAGGCGAATGAGGAGGAGTAGCTCTTCCTCCATTACACGAACCATGTTGGAGCTTTTCTGGGCCCTTAACTCATGTTGGCTTTACTTTCTCTGAGCCCAAGTCTCGATTCTGATATTAACATCACCAGTTAATCGCGAGCCCTTTGTGAACAACACACGGAAGTTGATGCAATTCAAAGGATAAAGCTAAGAGAAGGCCTTCACGATTTGTCATTGGAAAATACTACAAACAGGAATATTACAGAGAGGGCACAAAGCTATTAGTTTTTGAAAGGGGTAGTTGAAAAGTGTCTTGATTGTGACTTTTCATCAAAGGTTAGAGCTGTAAACTTAAAATAATTATAACAGCTCCTTATCTTACCCAGTACTCGCCAGGGCCGTACTTGGCACATCACACAAATGTCCCACCTAACATCCTTCGGAACCTGTGGGTGAGCCTTTTCCGTTTCCCTCTGCAGGCAAGAGAGACAAGAGGCAGAGAGGTTTTGTAAATTACCATGCCATAAAGTGAGTAGGGGACAGGGCAAAGATTTAATCTCCTGTTTCTCCCACTCCAAAGCTCAGAACCTTGTCTGTCAGGCTGGTTATACCAGATTTGCTATAAAAGATAGTGCTTTTTATCACATAATGAAAACCAGGGCTGCAGAGAGAGGATTGTGTGAACGCATACGTGGGCTATGGGGATCTTCCACCAAATCACTCCTCCATCCTCTTCCCTCTTCTGTGGTGGGGTGTGGGGAGGAGACAGGAGGGAATGAAACCTGAACACGGTCCTCAGAAAGCCTGGTTTTCTACCTCTGCCTTTGGGTTGTGACAAGATGGCTGTTCCTCTGGTTTTGGTAACAATGAAAAATTATTGATTTGGGGTCAAACTATATATATAATATAGCTTGCCTTTTAAAATGATGCCTCTCATTCTTTTAAAATTGGGTCAGACAAAATTTTTTAAAAAATAATAAAGTAAGGTGGAATCGTGTGAAAGCTTTGGATAGAGTGTCTAAAAACAAAGCCTACTCAGGCTAAATGGATAATTGGAAGTGGTATTTGGAAACAGCTTAATGGAGCAGAGCACAGGCGAGTTGGACTCCCAGCCTCATTATTTCTGGCTGTGTGTTGGTGGGGCAAGTTATAAAAACTAAGCCTCAGTTTCTTCATGTATAAAGGCAATAGAACCTACCTCATAGGTTTCTGTGAAAAACGCATGAGATATTCCATGTACAGTGCTAACCATAATACCTTGCCCATGGTGAATACTCAGAAACTCATCAGCCATTAACTGGTTTTATTGGTGGAGTGTGCTGTTCTCGTCTTGAAAGTGGAAAAGAAATATGCCTTCTGCAGAGAATGCTTCTTCTCATTTACTTTTGTGGTTTCCGCTTAGAATCTATCTTCAAGAAAGAATTCACTGCATTCACTTCATCTTTGAGGGATAGATAGGAAACAATTGGCCCTTTCCCTCCCAGGACTGGGTTAAGTGTCCATTCTGGGTGTCCCCATAACACCTTGTTCTGACTGCCGTGGCAGTTACTGGCCACACTGTCAGTCCCTCGAAAACAGGGGCTCTGTTTTCTCTCTTTATCCCCAGCACCTACCACAGTGTTTGAAACACAGGGTCTCTACAGCGAATATCTACTGGGAGAATAAATTCAAATGATGAGGTGATATGTGTAAAATGTTATATATATATATATATTTTTAAAGATTTTATTTATTTATTTGAGACAGAGAGAATGAGAGAGACAGAGAGCACATGAGAGGGGGGAGGGTCAGAGGGAGAAGCAGGCTCCCCGCCGAGCAGGGAGCCCGATGCGGGACTCGATCCCGGGACTCCAGGATCATGACCTGAGCCGAAGGCAGTCGCTTAACCAACTGAGCCACCCAGGCGCCCTAAAATGTTATATTTTTAAATTAGGAAGGTCATTATATTTCTTGGGTGTTATGGTAAAATGTAGTAATGATTGTGACATTCACTCTTTTCGCTAATTCTTCCTTTTCCAATGCTACCAGTAAAAGAAAAGCTATTTAACCCTTTGCTAAGTAAAAGGCTACATCATGTCATCTCATACCAGGACTTCACTCGATGGAGTTTCATCTGAAAAATATCTTTGTCTACCGAACAAAGTAGAAGCTGGTTTTAAAAGAGAAAACTACGTGTGTAATCACCATTAATATCACATATAGAAGTCATCTCTGGGGACATCCAGGAGGGTCCCCAGAATTTCTACACTGATTTCATCCAGAAAGAGCTGCAATAATGGAAGTGGTGAATACTTTTCTCGTAACAATATTGAACATTCTTTAATTCTCAAATTAATTCTCAAATTCTCAAGAGGAAGACCACTTAATGGTGGATTCTTGTGCAGTGTGCAGCCCAGATCTCTGGGCCTTGGTGGGCCTTATGAAGCCTGCCCTAGGCTGCAGATGGGTGAGAGAAACAGTGCTGCTCTGAAGTGAGGGGAGGGCAGCAAAATGAGCCAAGGCTTTGTGTCTGCTCAAGACAGGCGCAACAGTTATCAAACTAAGAACCCAACATTTTACTAAACTGATGCCAAAAATCTTGTCCCACACTAAAACAAATGTTTGAATCTGCAGAGAGCCTATGCAGAATAAAACCAATATGCTATTGTTGGAATTCAAGTCTTTTGATGAAATTGGTGCTTTAAAAATGCCTTGAACATTTATTCTGAATGAGCCTTATCTAATAGCAAATTGGATATGCATTTTCTCTCTATTAGAGCTAGAATTCTTGAAAGTGTCCCCTCCCCCTTCAAAAATTCTGTCGGGCAGGAACAGGGAGTGAGCAGGAATGAGCAGTTTTGTCCTGAGCACTTTCCTCGCAAGTGAGGTGGTTATTTCATTATACCTGGTTTGAAAGATTAAAAAAAAAAATGAAAGCTCTGAGCAATTAATTAATTCCTGCAAAAGGTGAAACAAGTGTTTGGATTCAGGACTGAATGGCATCCAAGTCCACGCTTCATCTACTATATTAAGTTACCTCTTAGGAAAGGTGACTGTAGCCTGGGATCTGATGAAGTCACTCGGATATCTGATTTCCTCATTCTGTTTTCAGGAGGTTCTTAACATGTAAGCCATTTCACTGTGGGGAGAGGAAGTGGAGAGTGGTCAAACATTCACTCAGTCTTCTGGTTAAGATTTTTCTCACACCTTTGTGAGTCCCTTTGTTCTAGGAAGCAATAAAGGAACAAAAAAAAGCAGCCTTCCAAACTCTAGGTTAGTTTCAAACTCCCTAGCCCCAAAGAAGGAAAAGAAGGGGATGGTTCTCAATTGTATCTAAAATCACCAGAATTTTCCTGCAAGGCCACAGGGTCTTTTGACATTGATCTTTGACATTGATCTTCTTGATTTTTGTTTTTAGAATTGGGTGACAACTCCATTTATCTTATTTTCTGTTCCTTCTTCATGATTAATCAACTACCTCCCTGGTCCCTCCAAGCTTATCTTACTGCACCATTCGCAATATTTTGCAAATGGAAATTTTGTGCTTTTTTGCCTCCTCTAATAATCACTTGCTTGGCACAGATGATTTCAGAACACAGTTATACAATGGAAGCTTAATGTTACAATCCCACTAATTTGTTTGCATTTATTATTCTGTTAAATTTCACTTACCAAATCAGCACGCAAATAATGCAGCCATGAAGACACATCTGGAAAGCAAATTCCTTCTAAGAACATTTCATCCCATTGGAGTGAGGATCTGGAGAACAGTCACATACACCAGAAAGAAAGAGCAGGTGTTGGGTGGTGAAGAGAGGGCGAAGCGAGCCAAGTTTACTCTGGACGAGGAAGTCCCACTGGGCCCATGGAAGCTGGAGACTGAGAGGTCCAGGCAGGTGACGGTCAGAGATGTCTAGTATAAGTAAATATAGTGGATAATGCATGGCTAATACATTTACATTATGTTTTAAATGCCTTATTTATTTTTTATTTTGGGGTGATGTAGGGATCTAACTTTATTTTCTTCTAGAAGGAGAGCCAATATTCTTAAAGCCACTGATGATATACTGAATCTTTCCCCCACGAATTGAAAAGCCACTTTCTCATGTAATAAAGTATACTTCAATTGGCTTTTGCCTCTCTTCCCTCTCATTGATTTACCTGCCTGCTCCTGGGCCAGAATCTCATCTTCTAATCACATTAGCTTACTTCATTTATATATTAAATCGATAATTATTTAGTGTACACAGTGCTCCTGGAATTGTGTGGGTCCTGGGGGCAAAAAACACAGACAGAAAACCTTCCCTCTGGAATCTTACATTCTAAAAAGTTTTAGAGTCCTGTAAAGAAAGCTTCCCCTCTCTCATTATTCTTATTTTTCGTAAGTTTCTTGACAGGTATACATTTATTTTCCCAACAAATCTTTAAATCACTTTGTCTAGTTCTGAGAAAAATAGCCTAATGAACTTTTGATTGAAATTCATTAAATTTCGGGCGCCTGGGTGGCTCAGCCGGTTAAGTGACTGCCTTCGGCTCAGGTCATGATCCTGGAGTCCCGGGATCGAGTCCCACATCGGGCTCCCTGCTCAGCAGGGAGTCTGCTTCTCCCTCTGACCCTCCCCCCTCTCATGTACTCTCTCTCATTCTTGCTCTCTCAAATAAATAAATAAATCTTAAAAAAAAAAAAAGAAATTCATTAAATTTCTACATTGGTATGAAAGGAATGGGTTCATTATGAAGTGTTTTTGGGATACTGAGACACAACATGCCCTTCAATTTATTCATTTTTTATCTAATCACATTATCAACTCTCAATGTTACTAGCTTTTCTCAGTCTTTTGAGTTACCAGGTATACATAGCATATGCATATAATACCCTTGTCTCTTTCTTTCCACTATTCATAACACTTAGTTTATTATTTCATTATATTAGAATCCCTTGGAAAACATTATTTCAATTATCATCACTGGTTTCCTTTTTCGTATGACGTTGGCTATGGTGTTGAATGAACCGTCTTTACAGTTCTGTCATGTTCTTTGTTGTTAAGGTGGGATTTCTATTTCTAAATTTAAAATGGCGGCTATTTTTGAGAGGTGTGTGTTTCTTAGCATTAATTCATGTATTTATGCTTTTAATTTTTTCTGGTACATTTGGTCAATTATGTTGCCATATTTTAAAATGTTGAACTATCCCTGCATTCCTGCAATATCGTCCGCTTGGTCATGGGATGCTATTTTTTAATATGCACCTAGATTTCATTCGACGATTTGTATGTAAAATTTAGTTACTGCATTGCCTCCATGTTTATGAGTGAAATCTTTTATAGTTTTCTTTTCATTCTCTATTCATCAGGACTGGGAAGTAAGGTTATGCTTGCTTTGTAAATTGAATTGGGAAGCTTTCCATCTTTTGCTATGGTCAAAAATTTTTTGAATAACATAAGGATTATCTGTTCACTGCAAGTTAGATAGAATTCAGCTGGAAAGCCATCTGGGCCTGGCACATATTTTAGTGAATAGATAATTTTTGAAAAGGGGTTTGTGGTACAGTGGGAAGAGGATTGTATTTGTAATCAGAGACTTATATTTGAATCTCTGCCCAACCTTTTGCTGACTGTGTGAGTTGGATGATGGACTTTTCTTTTCTGTGAAATGGTGATCGATCTATTTGATCGATCAATCCATCATCTAAATAACTATCATCTATCTATCTATCATCTATCTATCTATCTATCATCTATCTATCTTGGAGGGAAGACTAGTTTCTAGGGACATTTATTAGTGGAGAAAGTTTAAGAAGCTGTAGTATCTGATGAGTAGGTGCTCAATAAATAGCTATTTCTCATTAAGTCATCCTCATTGTAATCTTTGGCTATATGAATTCTTGTCATCTGCCTTGGCACTAAATAGAATTTATCTGTAAACCACTGAGTACTAAGCTCTTGGCAGTGTCCCGATGTACTTAGATCGACCCACTAGGTGCCATGCCAAGACTGTCAGGTCTGCTGGAAGACCCTCTGTGAGGGGGCTCTTCCCTACTCTTTCTGATTTGATCAAAGTTCAGAACAATCTGATGAGGAGGCATCTTCCAATTTCCAAGCTTTTAATTCACTTTTTCCTCCAAGTATCCAAGGAAGTTTTGAATAGCAGAAACACACTTTGGGATTTCTGTTCTGTTAAGAGTGGGTCATCTGACAGATAGCCCTTTGGACCAGCCACAAAGCCAAGTTTATTGTTCAAAAGCACTTATTTAGTATGTTAGTAATTTATTTCAGGAGCAGATGACAGCCCCATTCATTTGTAGCTAATATTCATCCTGAAATATTTCAATGCAAGAGGGTTTTTTGGGTTTTTTTGTTTGTTTGTTCGTTTCCTAGTGCAAAGTACTATACAAAATGTTTAGGTGTCTAAATGAGCACTTTCTCAATGAATTCAAAGGGAAAGGTGATTGATATTTTTGAAGTTCCAACAGGGAAGAGAAGTCTACGAAAGTTGTGTCTGTATGATGCTTACTGCCTGAACAATTAAAATGAAAAGGACTATATATAGTAGGTCCCATTTGGGGAGATGGAAAATATACATAAGCATACACACTAACAGAGACATTACAGTTTTTCTGAAGAATACATTAGAGACCATTCGCTTTACGTTTATGAAGAAGAACTTAGGATTCGTGGGGATAACTAAGGAAAGAGAGAGATTTGCATTTCATTTTATATCATTTTGACAGAATTTTATCATGAATTAAAAAAAAGTTGATTTCTCTTACTCAATATATGTTTTATTAAATAGCAGTACTGGCCTTTCCCCACCAACTAAATTGACTATTATTTTTTGGCATTATAGAATCAAAGGCTTAAATCTAGTTGCAGTCCATATTTGCTTGAATTCCCTCGTTCCCTCATTTGAGTACCAGGTCTATCTTAGTTCCATTTGTCCTTCATATGGCCTTAGGGCCTCCAAGGAACATTTACTACAAGTCTGGCCCAGAAAACATTTCTGGAACTTAAGCTTTGTTTGAGGGTGTTTTTGAAAAGGAAATTTGCCATCATCAAATACAGTTTCTTGAGCCCACACAGAGTGCATGGCATGGGTCCAATCGTTCCTTTCTGGTTCCTTTGAGATTTGTTTAATACTTTGAAAATCAGAATTTCCATAAAACAGCATCAGACTTCCCTGCCTCATAGCTCAATAGAAAGGCTGAGCAAAGAGATTTAACTTCATTTTGAGGGTTGGTTTTGCCACATGTATTAACAACGATAAAAGCAACAAACCAGAGCAAAACAACTGTGACCGAATGAGCACACGGCGCAGGAAACAAAGCTTCTTTTTTTATTTCTTCAGCAACCTTTAGGGTCAACATGATGTTGTTGGGTTTTGCTGGGCTGACTCAGGCCTGTTCAGATGTTTGGGTGCAGAGTTAACTTTGAAATAATCATCCTTGAGCGGGCGGATTAAGAATGAGTTATAAAGCATGACGTTGTTGACAGCTAAAGCAAATTGTCTTTCAGTTCAAGAACAAAAACCTTTGCTACTGGGACAGGCTTTGAGTTTCAGGGCCCTTCCTGCACACTGTTGCTCCTGGCATCCAGGTTCTCTGGGTTGTTCACCTTTGGCAACAGGAACCACACTCACTAGCCATTTCTTCATTGTTGGGAATCTAGTAATAATTTGCACGTACCGCCAAGAAAGTACTAACTTCCCCAGATAATTTTATTTGGCCTGTAAATGCTTATCTTTCTTTCTCTCCCCTCTCCTCCTCTGCCCTTATTTCTCTTCCCCAACCCCTACCCTTCTCCCTCCCTCCACCCCCCCCATCTGCTGTTCTCAAATGACTTAGATATGGGTAGGAATGTCACCAAGTTTTCACTAGTCCATACTGAAATGAGAAAATAAGATCAATGTCCTATAAAGCTGTTCATGAGTGTTGTTGTTTTTCAATTTTTTTTTAAAGATTTTATTTATTTGAGAGAGAGAGAGAGAGAGAGAGAGAGACAGAAATAGTAACAGAGAGCATGAGTGGGGAGGAGAGGGAGAAGCAGGCTCTCCATTGAGCAGGGAGCCCGACACAGGACTGGATCCCAGGACCCTGGGATCATGACCTGAGCCAAAGGCAGATGTTTAACTGACGGAGCCACCCAGGTGTCCCTGTTTTATCAGTCTTGATCTCTAAGGGATGATCACTCCTGCCACCCCATGAAAAATATGTAGCATGTTGTTTCCAGCTACTGAGATTTGCGGGGAGGGGACCTATTTGTTACTACAGCACTATGTAGCCTACCTGTCCCGATACAACAGCTAATGGGTGTTGCTATAAATGTCAACTGTACTTTCTTAGAAATGACTCTAATTTATTTTGGTATTTTTTTCTACTTGTAAAAATATTTAAATGTCTTTTAATGTCCTTGTTTGAGATGAAAAGTTGGCACTTCGTTGGCGGTTCCCTTTCTTTGTCATTGTTGTTACTGCTGTATTTTAATTTTACCAATATATGAAATCCAAAAGTCTGAGAACCACTGCTTGATGCCATCTTCCGTGGCCCAGTCAAATAGTGCAAAGACATTCCAGAGTTTTCTAAGGTGGTCCAAATTCTTCTATAATAGTTGTAATTGGTAGGTATGCATCTAGCCTTATCCCACTGTCTGCGGTTATACAAAGGCTCAGGTTTTGATGCCCTGTTCTTTCGAGGCTGCCTGCATTTCACTTCTGATCACCTGCAGCAGTTCATTCAATGGGTTTTGCCAGTCATGCTAAACCAGG